CTGGGTGACAGAGTGAGACTCCAACTCAAAAAAAAAAAAAAAAGAAAAGAAAAGAAATGGTTGGACACTTGCTAATACATTCAATGATATGAAGAACAAATGTTCCCATTTGTTCTTTGTCCCTTTTTATCTTTTTCTACCTTTGTATAGATTGATTTTTATTATTCTATCTTATCTATCTTATTGGCATGTGAACTATATCAATTTTTTTTGTGTCTGGTTGTTTTAGTGATTTTTAAAAAATTTATCACGGTTTTTTGTTTTTGTTTTTGTTTGCTTTTTTGTTCTTTTATTTGTTTGTGTCAGTGTCTCACTCTGTCACCCAGACTGGAGTACAGTGGCACAAGCACAGCTCACCACAGCCTGCCTCTCAAGTAGTCAGGACTAGAGTCATGGGCCACCACCCCAGCTGATTTTTTTTTAATATATAGATTATGTCTCATTTTGCTTCCTAGGCTAATCTTGAACGTCTGGGCTCAAGCAGTCCTCTCACCTCAGCCTCCCAAAGTGCTGGGATTACACACATGAGTCACCATACCTGGCCTTTCTAAAAAAATTCATCCATAGGGCTCTACCTGATAATTGCAGGCTATTTTTGCATTAGTTTGGGTTAAGTCAGGAAAGAGAAAGCACTGAGTAGTTTTTTTTCTTTTTTTAGTTAAGGTCTCACACTGTTACCCAGGCTGAAGTGTAGTGGCATGATCACAGTGCACTGCAGCCTAAACTTTCTGGGCTCAGTCGATCCACCTCAACCTCCTGAGTAGCTGGGACTACATGCACGTACCTCCATGACTGGCTAATTTTTTAATGTTTTGTAAAGATAGGGTCTCACTATGTTGCCTAGGCTGAGCTCAAACTCCTGGGCTCAAGAGATTGTCCCACCTCAGCCTCCCAAACTGCTGGGATTGCTGGTGTGAGCCACTGCACCCAGCTGGGTATTTGCTTGTTTGTTTTAATAGAGACAGGGTCGTGCTCTGTCACCCAGGCTGGACTACAGTGGTACAATCATAGCTCACTATAAACTTGAATACCTGGGCTCAAGCAATCCTCCCTTAACCTCTCTAGTGGCTAGGACAACAGGTGGGTGCCACTATGCCCAACTACTTTTTTTTTAGTTTTTTGTTTGTTTGTTTGTTTTTTGAGTTGGAGTCTCACTCTGTCGCCCAGACTGGAGTGCAGTAGCCGCTCCCGGCCACCACCGCAGTCTCGACCTGCTGGGCTCCGGCAATCCTTTCGCCTCCGTCTTCCAAGTAGCTGGAACTATAGGCGCACGCTACCACGCCCGGCTAATTTTTTGGTTTATTGTAGAGATGAGGTCTCGCCA